GGTGCAGGGGTTAAATCTCAGCACTGTGAAGCAATTTGCAGCACAAGTTCAATTCCCAGCCAGGAGGTGACCCGCATGGTGCAGCAGACCACCCTGTCTCTGTCACTGCTCCCCTCAGCAGTGTAGTTTACTCCACCTGCCTGTTCTGCTCCCCACTCTGTCTCTGGTGAGTCCTCCCATCCCTCCCTTCACAGCCCCCTACCCCCACAATGGTGCCTTCATAACTGCTTCTAATTTTTATGACACAAAAACCTCACCAAAGTCTTGGCAAGAAAACAGCTGGGTGAATTGATAGTTAATTCCTAGGCAGTGTGAGAATCAATATTCCTGGCTGGTGAGCTTAGAGGAATCATAAGAATAGACTATCTGCTACTGAGTGTTTCGGTGTGATTGTCACCCTGGGGAGTGCATGACGCTGAAGAAGGTGATGGAAGCCCCTGCCTTTTCCATGACTGTAGCAACTATGTTCACAATAAAGGGAAGCCCTTTTGTGCCAAGTGACAAGCTGTAGGTGACATAACATGAAACAAAATATCGCCCTGCCCAGGCATGGGCATTAGTTGATCAAAAACACTTTCTTTGTGCCCTGTTTGCTATTAGCTATTAGCTGATCAAAAACCATTTGCTATTAGCTGATCAAAAACACGTTTGTCTTTCTATCACCAATCTACCTACTTGGGGGGGAGGGGTTGATGAATCCCAAAAAGGAGTGACAGGGTGGTTGAGCTCTTGTCCTGGATCTGCCCGTACAAAGATTTGGATGTGGAACTTGACCTGTCCTCTTCCTGCAGGGGGCAAAACGCTTGTGATAGTGGGTGCTAACAATTATGTGGAAAAATGTGAAGTGTTTGTCACAGTGTTGGGCAGAGGAATGAGATCATCAATACTAGAAGTATTTCAAGCTTGTGGCATGGGAAATATTTGTGCTGAGAAAGACCTGATTTCTGCCATTGACCTTCATTGGTCATCAAACCCTTAGGTGTATAGGGAGTGGCATCTGGCAAGGGTAGTTGTGTCAGGGGACAGTGTCGCCCAGTAGTTTCTGACCTCTGCTGCAGGCCGCAGGATGCAGAGGAGAGTGGCTAGGTCACTCCTCGGCTGGACCAATAAAAAAAAAAGGATTTCAGCTGAATCCTTAAAACAAAAGATTGACAGGTCGATGGATGAAAGGCTTTTTCTTTTCTGCATATTTGTATACATATACACATGTATCACTTCAAGTCATATTTTCATTGTTTCCTCCTAGTAGGCCAGTGACTGTGATGACAAGCCAATTTCAAGTGGTATTTAGCCCAGGGTCCTCTGCAGGCAGAGGCAATGGGAAAACACAACTACTATATTCATGAACCAGTCACTGACACACGTTATTTCTGTGGCTGCCATTAGAACACATCCTTCATTTTATTTGTAAAAGAAAAGGTGAAATGGTCAAGCAAATGTCCTTCATATGCAAAGTCAGATTTGATGAGAACTTCCAAAGCTCCAGTGTTCTCTTGCAACGTATTCTAATCATGGAAACAGGGGTGTAGGTTTCGTCTTTTTCGTGAAGATGGGTTTATGAGAACGCAGCTAAGCGGGATGTTAAGAATGTCTTTTTCTAGGGCTCTACCTTTAAGGGTCAAGGTAACAGGGTTTTCTTGTGGGGAATTGGAATTTCAATTCAAAGCACGTTTATTAAAAACAAAAATTTCAAGATGCTTGGAAATTGCCTGGTTAGGGTGGTTTAGAACCAGACACTAATTTATTCTAGGATTATTTTATGTGAGTGTACACATGGCTCAAACATCCCACTCAGGTGTGAGAGCTGGCACATGTTTAATACATGGCAATAATAAAGATACAATTTCTGGCCTCAGCTCATCCTCGCCTCACCTGAGGCTAGTGACACACTTTCTCCTGCTGTTTCCTAATCAGGGATGACAACACTGTGCCTTGTGCTTCTCAGAAATGCCGAGGGGATAAATGAGATGACATTTATGAAATAACTTGAGCTCTATAGAAAGGAAGTACCCTCTAAGAATTAGCTTTAAACATTATGTTCAGAAACTATTTGCAAATGACCATGACCTCTTCAAGTCCTATTTCAAAATTCATCCTTCTAAAAAACTTTTTTTTTAAAGATTTATTTGTTCATACAGAACTGGGGTACAGGCCAGAGACTCAGGGTTGGCGAAAGACTTCACCAGAGACAGCGGGGAGCAGAACAGGCAGGTCGACAAAGTACACTGCTGAGGGGAGCAGCGGGCGGGTCAGGAGAGGTCTGCCGCGCCATGTGGATCTCCTCTGGGGCAGGCGGGGATCGAACTCATGCGGAAGTGGTTTCAGCTTCTTAGTGCTTTAACCCGCTGCGCCACCAGGGAGGGCCTAAAAAGCTTTTCTTGATTAACTTCACCCTTCCCAGTCGTTTCTTATACTTTGGGCACCTTTGCCTTAAGTCCATGCTGTGTATTTCATGTTTTGATCTATTACATGATACCATCACCGACCCAGGAATCTCACACACCACCCAGCCTCCTCTGTGTCTCTCCATCCTGGTGAGTGACACGGTGTGATCAGTCCTGCCAGTGTGTGTGTGTGTGCTCACGGGTGTCCTGGACGCTGTTCCTAGAGCACCACGAGTCTAGTGGCCTCCTCTCCTAATCCCCTTCCCCGGGTTGGCCCACATGCTCACAGGTCTTTCCCATGCTAGCCTGGCCCCTTTGCAATTCTTCTTCTGTATATTTAAGATATCTTTTTTTTTAAAGAAATTTTTAAAGACTTATTTATTTATGCTTACAGAACTGGGTTACAGGCCAGAGGTATGGGTGGGGGAAAGGATTCACTGGAGACAGAGTGGGGAGCAGAACAGGCTGATCCACTGAAATACACTGCTGAGGGGAACAGTGGGTGGGTCAGGAGAGGTCTGCTGTGCCATGTGGGTCAGCTCCCTGGCCTGGGATCAATTTAGTGCTGATCCACTGAAATACACTGCTGAGGGGAGCAGTGGGTGGGTCAGGAGAGGTCTGCTGTGCCATGTGGGTCAGCTCCCTGGCCTGGGATCAATTTAGTGCTGCAGTGGCTGC